ATGTAAATTAAATTAAATAATAAAATAAATAAAAATAGGGATTAAAGGGAATAAATAAGAAATAAAAAGGATATATGTAAATTAAATTAAATAATAAAATAAATAAAAATAGGGATTAAAGGGAATAAATAAGAAATAAAAAGGATATGTGTAAATTAAATTAAATAATAAAATAAATAAAAATAGGTAGGTAATAAAGGGAATAAACAAGTAAATAAAAATAAAAAAAATAAAATAAAAATAATAAAGGGGAAAAACAAGCAAATAAAAAGGATAGAAATAAATAAAATAAAATAATAAAGTAAAGGGAATAAACAATTAAAAATATAAATAAATAAAATAAAATAAAAATAATAAAGGGAATAAACAAGTAAAAAAAGGATACATATAAATTAAATAATAAAATAAATAAAAATAGGTAATTAAGGGGTAAAGAAGTAAATAATAAGAATATCAATAAATTAAATAAAATAATAAAATAAATAAAAATAGATAGGCAATAAAGGGAATAAATAAGTAAATAATAAAGATATCCACAAATTAAATAAAATAAGTAAATTAAAACAATAAAATCAAATCAAAAGGAAAATGGAGCTGATAATTGAAAAAACAAGCAGGTGACCTCTCAAAGAGCCAGAATTCCCAGATATTTCCTGGAATCACGGCACAGTTTGGGTTGGAAGGGCCCCGGGCAGGGACACCTGGTTGTTCCAAACCCCCTTTCAGCCTCAGCCACTCCAAAATTCCTGGAATTTATTGGATACACCTTAAAAAAACCCGGGATATTTTCCACCTGGCCCTGGTACTTCTCCACCTCCAGCTCAGGATTCCAAAGGGGAACCACTGTGGAGCTTGGAATTCCATCAGTTCCGGCCTCAACCAACCTGGGGGGTGTCCAGGGCAGGGCCGCGGATCCTGGGAAAGGCATTCCTGGGAAAGGCAGCAACGGGAGAACGTCTGGAAAAGAGCCCCAGGCCCCCCAGGAGACACCTCTGCAAGGAAAACATTCCACAGGTCAGGGAACATTCCAAGAGCTGGGATTTAGGGATGAGCTGGAGCAGAAACGTGGAGGGGACGAGAAGCAAATCGGGGTTTTTTTTTTTTTCCGGGAGAATTCTTCCCAAAGGCGGCTTTGGAGGGAAAAGCGGGAATTTCCCGGTTGTGTTCGAGCAGGAAGGAACCCTCGGGCCTCAAATCAGAGCGGGAAAGATCCGATGGATCCCAAAAAACCACCCAGTGCCAGGGGCAGTTTGGGATGGAGGGGCTTTAAAACCCATCCAAGCCCAACCCCTGGGTGAGATTTGGGATGGAGGGGCTTTAAAACCCATCCAAGCCCATTCCATGGGCAGGGAT